ATGCTTCTGCAGTGTAACTGACCTAAAACGGACTTGTCTTATCCAAAATGGCACATAGAAAGCTATTTCACATAGAAACTGTGTGCATAGAAATGCAATTATCTGTACAGTATGATCCCTTTTAATATCAGGTGGATATAATGTCATTTTTTGGTGTGTTTTTTAGGTACCCATGGCAACAGCACTGCTCCCAGAGGACCGAGATGTTGCCGATGAGAGGAAGCGGGTCCTGGAGTGCCAGCCGATAGTAGAGTCTATGGTTGGTAGCCCCCTCATTCTGCAGGAGCTCAGCAAAGTAAGTGGCTTAGCTGTATTTTGCTTATTTGCAAAGGTCTTGACTTATTTTTTAAATACTTGGACTGAGTGTCCCAATTTTGAAATACATGTAAAACTGTTATCTCCTCTTCACAGGTGTACAGCAGCGGGGAGAGTCTCCTGGCTGTGGACAGGCTGTCTCTCGCTGTAGGAAAAGGGGAGTGTTTCGGCCTGCTGGGCTTCAATGGAGCAGGAAAGACCACGACTTTCAAGATGTTGACAGGCGATGAGAGCGTCACGTCTGGAGATGCCTTCATTGATGGATACAGCATCCGGAGAGACATTAAGAAGGTAAGAGGGAGGGAGATGGGAGAATCCACAAAGTCTAGAGTGGCGAACTACACTGCTTTCAACACACACAAATATTTAAAAAGAAGATTTATCTCTGTATAACAGGTGCAGCAGCGCATAGGGTACTGTCCTCAGTTTGATGCAGTATTGGACCACATGACAGGAAGAGAAACTCTGAGTATGTACGCCCGGCTCAGAGGAATCCCAGAGAAGTACGTGTCTGGCTGCGTGGAGAATGTCCTGCGCTCGCTGCTGTTGGAGCCTCATGCTGATAAACTGGTCCGCAGCTACAGGTAGGTAGCTCTTTGGTGGAGGGAGGATACACATGTTATCCTGAAGAATGCTTGAAAAAGTTTTTCTAATAATGTGGCGTAATGCACATATGCAGCGGCGGTAATAAGCGGAAGCTGAGCGCAGGAATGGCTCTGATTGGTGGGCCTCCTGTCATCTTCCTCGATGAACCTTCGACTGGGATGGACCCCGTTGCCAGGAGGCTGCTGTGGGACGCTGTTACACGCACACGGGAGTCTGGCAAGGCTATAATCATCACTTCTCATAGGTACATGCTAAAGAATATGGTAGATAGCAGCTGATTTGCTCCATCTAGTTAAGCTTACACCTACCTAACTTTCCCACCGATATGTTCGTTCATCAGTATGGAGGAGTGTGAGGCCCTGTGCACCAGGCTGGCAGTGATGGTCAACGGTCAGTTCAAGTGCCTCGGGAGTCCCCAACATCTAAAGAGCAAGTTTGGCAGTGGCTACACGCTGCTGGCTAAAGTCCATGTAGAAGCTGAACTGGAGGACAGCGACCTGCTGCTATTTAAAGACTTCATTGAAAGCACCTTCCCAGGTCAGAGCCTCGTGATAGAAGAGTTGTTTCAATATTTCTAAATCTAACTATAAATACTTCTCATAAAAAATGTGAGTTACTAGAAGTAAGTTCTCAGGGATTGAAAATACCAAGATCATAAATAATTATATATATCTTAAGCTTCAAGCATGGCATTGCATGTTGAGGAAATTCTACCTGTTGTGGCTGTTTGCTGCCACTTGGTGGTGTTATGACTATATCCAATAACAAAAATGTATGCTACTCTTTCTCAAAAGACAGAAGCCATAATATCCAAAGACCTTACTGTTAATAAACTATACAATGAAGTTCCTTTTCTTCGTGGTGAAGCCTTTTAAATCCTTTTAATGAGTCTGTATTTGACCAATGCGGTCAAACCGAAATATTCCAAAAGGGTAAACAACACACAAGCGGCACATTTACAGTTTACTGAAACACTCAAGTGGGACGATAAGCTCATCAGATTAAGCTATTATTTTCAAAGTAAAAGAATAACAAAGCAAATGTAACTGTCAGTTTTCTTCCACAACAGGAAGTCAGCTCAAGGATGAACACCAGGGAATGGTGCATTACCATTTGACTGACAAAACACTAACCTGGGCACAGGTACAGTTACTTTTGATCTTTTACCCAGCATCTGTTTGTCTATACTTTAATTGATCGTATTATGTTCTATTTTCTTACGTTTACCCCTGACCTATCCCTGGATAAGTGAAAAAAAGATGAATGCACAAATGATGGAAATTATATTTATTTTTGTCCTTTTTTTTTTTTTTTAATTATTGTTTTTAGTCATCTGTGAGTCAACTTTGAAGTAGATCGCTCACAAATAAAAAAATAAGTCCCTGCACTTGTGCTGTGTTATATCTCCCTCTATTGGACAAAATAGTAACTACATTGTTTAAGTCAGTTTTTTCTAGTCCTCTTGTAACTTGATCAAGGTTTCAACTTGACATTTTCCATGTCTTGATTGCCGTGTTTTAATTTTAAAGTCTGTATTCATATCATAACTTTAACATACAAACTTGCTGTGATACATGGTGCACAAAATGCCTTGGAAAATACTGAAAAACAAAAAAATGTATATATAAAAGCTAACCGGTATTTGGATGTGCATGAAAAAGTAGATTTCTTTTTTTTTTTTTTGTCTGCTTAACTGTGTGCAAATTAAAGGTATTAAATGTGATCTTCACTTTTCCATGTCCTCTCTTTCTCAACTCCCATCTAGGTGTTTGGCACTTTGGAGGCAGCCAAAGAGAAATACCACATTGAAGACTACTGCGTGAGTCAGATATCACTGGAGCAGGTGTTCCTTAGCTTTGCCCAGTTTCAGCACTGCACACAGAGCGAGAGGAACTAGGTGAAGAATCTGTCCACCCCATCGCCCATTTCCTACACTACGTGCACACGGCCCTTACGCAGGGACTTGCCTCGGTTACATCGCCAGGCGTGGAGAGGAGAACACAGTTTGTCTCCAGCGCCGTTTTTAAACCTTGAACACGAACACACACTCTGCGGGTCAGTGGCAAACACCAACTTCAGCGTTTCTTTTATTGTATCACCCGGATGTGTCTTTCTTTGGTCACTCATGCCATTTTCTGTTGTTTAAAAGTAGAAGAACTGATTCTGATTACGACACGATTACACTGACTCTTTTTAGCGAGGTCAAACAAAGAAAACTGCATCACTCAATAGATACTACCACTACTATGAAATGTGTGTGACAGGGATTATTTGTGTGTTTTAATTGAGTGTACAGTCTGTCATTTTGTTATTTATGATTTTTATTACTTTTTGTGTGTGTTCAAAAATGTGTGCTTTATTTCGGTGACTGTCAATCATTGCAAGAGAACGGACCACTCCAGTTGATTTTATTGTGTAACTGTCGCACACCTTTGAGCCTTATCTAACAAATGAGGGTTCCTGTTTCTTTATGTCGCCCTTATGAAGAAGGACTGTTTTTGTTTTTTTCCTTAAGAGCCTCTTAATGTTGTTGCCAGATGTACATAATGCGATGTGTTCATGGTACTAAAACCATTTACTCATTTAAAGCCTGTTTTGGAATCATTAATGGATGCATGCCTAAAATAGGACTTGCAAAATGCACGAAACTGGGAGAGCAGAGAGCTGCTAGTGAACAATAGAAGGCCGTCCAGACTGAGGATTAATCCACAGGGTACATTTAGTCTCTTCTTAGAGCATTTACTACATCTCAATTTTCAGCTCCTGTTAGGTAACTATTCAGTTTTCTGCCCAACAAAAGTACAGGAACAGTGTGTTACTATGTGGATATCAGCTTCAGTGCTTACGTCGAAGCTGTTTATAAAAAAAGAAAAAACCCACAAAGTGACGCTGGAGATTTTACTCGTGCCATTGTTCTGGTGAAACTCAAAGTCTTTCAATTAAAATTGGCCTAGAACACCGAGACTGCAATGACCTTTTATTGTTTTTTTCCATCAGCTGTGCAATTCACATGCTGCACCTGTGCATGTGTAAAGACAGCGACAGATAAAATGGGAGCCCACTTCCTGGATTCATCCCAGAGTCTGCAAAACAGATTGAAGACTTTTAATGTCTCCAAAAACGAATTCTTACTCAGTATCCTGCTGTTACAATCTGGGATAACCACACCGAGTCCTTTACTTGACATTCCTGTCCTCAAAGAAACACTTCCGAGAAATGAAATGAATGTATACCGTCTTACACACAAAAAGCTCTCTGACAGCTGTATTAACAGCTTGATATTATCCGCAGTGCTTTCTTTATGCTAAACAAGAAACTGATATTCCTAAAAACCCCACAGATGTGTTGCTTAGAGGTTTTCAAAGGTTTTTACATTATAATTTCTGTGTATTTGCACAAATCCTCTTTCATTATGTGTGTGACTTGAAATAACAGCATTGTTAGACAAGTAGAAAAATGATAAACATTTAAAAGGTTTGCGCTGCTGATATTGAAGAATGTTTAATGCTGAAATGTGGTGTATCAAATTTAAAAAGGGAATTTACATCATTGTAATTGTGTACTGTACTGTACCATGCCATGGGACTGACTTTGTCAACTCTAAATGTATCGCTACTCTTTTTAAATTAAATAATGCTCTATGCAAAAGGATGCAAAGCCCAGTGTGGGATCCTGTTTTTATATTTCAGTTTGTTCAGCATTTGTCCTGAATGGTTTTGCCACCAGAGGTAAGTGGTGAAGGGTTTTGAGTTTATTTTGTTGTTGACCTCTTCCTGGATTAACCACACTGTGACAGACAAGGATGGGCAACCACATCATCCCCAGAAAGCTAACTCTCCCTTTAGGCCCCACAAAAAAAACATAGCTGTGGCTTTTTGAAGGGTGAGGCAGCTCTCACTTGCTCTGGCAAAACAAGTTCCTGTAATTAAATCACTGGGGGAGTTACCTAATGCACAGATGAGATATGCATCTCAGGGGCGGGAACATGGATGCTAAACCTATCATGGGAGTCCCTACAAGGAAGCTCTAGCAGTTTTCACATAAGTAACACAGAGAAAAACCCCTGACACCAGACGGAGATGGCACTTTTTGTAGATTTTAACTTCTCCAGTTCCACCACCGTGCTGGCTGCTGCTGTTCTCTTGCTTGTTCTTTATCTCCTATCTGTCAATTACATTTCTAAGGAAAGAGGGAAGGAACCCCCAGGACCGAGACCTCTGCCTCTGCTAGGCAACCTGTTGCAAATTGACCTCAAGAGACCCTACAAAACTCTGCATGAGGTAAATCAGGCTGTCTTCTCGTTCAAAAGGAGCAGCTTTAATGAAAGATTGCAATGTATTTAATGCTATTTCAGTTGTCTTTTGCTTAATTTTTATTCTTCCAGCTTTCAAAGACATATGGGTCAGTATTTACAGTTTATTTAGGAACCAACAAGGTTGTGGTCTTGGCTGGGTACGAAGCAGTCAGAGAGGCACTGGTTAACTATGCAGTGGAGTTTGGAGAGCGCAACGTCTCCCCAATATTTAAGGACCTGAACAGAGGTCATGGTATGAAATTCTTTCATAATACCATTTATTCTGTTTCATTTTACTATCACAAATAGTCCGGTCAACATATGATACCTGGCTTCTCAGAAATAACCAACAGCACTTATAGCTGCTGTGACTCACATGACTTCATGAAATACAGGTTTCCTCTCCATCCAGAATTTAAAAAAAAAAGTTTATATAAGTTTAGTGCTACATATTCCTTTAATGTTGAATGTCTTCCGTGAGGATGTGACCCTGTTTGTGTAGTAAACTATGCAATACAGCACTTTTATTATGAAATTGCTTCAATCGTCCAGGTAAGGAAATCCCAAAAAGTTGATCCTGTTCATCTCGACAGCGTTTTCTGTGGGATAAACGTTTTGTCACTCATCCAAGTGACTTCTACAGTCTCAGCTGACTGCAAGATTCCCCAGCTTTATAAATAATGTTCATTGACCAATGATCATGAATCTGACATTTTTAGTCAGCGGTGCTAATTTCAATACAATAGAGTCACATGTACAATTTTAAACTATTTAGGGGAAAAAAAGACAAATGCAAATGTACTGTAATTTAGTAAAAACACTACATCCAGATGAACAGAATCGACTTTTTGGGGGGTACAAAATGTGATATATTCAAAAACCAAAAACTACTTCAAAAGTTTAAAAATTTAAAAATACTCATTGTTTTCAGCCCTTCCTTACTGGTGGTTTAAGCCTTGTCAGCATGTTTCTATTTCCATATCATAAAAATCAGTTAATTGAGTTTTTAAAATAAAGGATTTTATGTTTTGTAGGAATTTTGTTTGCAAATGGAGAATCGTGGAAAGAGCTGAGACGTTTTGCCCTCGCCACCCTCAAAGACTTTGGGATGGGCAAAAGACTTACTCAGGGTAAAATCCTGGAGGAGTGTGGCTATCTGATTCAAGTGATTGAAGATCATAAAGGTATGGCAAAAGTACATGAACCATGAACTGCAATTTAAATGATTTTTTTAAATTAGCACACCTCTAAATGTTATATTGTGCATGTCTGTTAGCCCATGTATGGATTTATTTATTTTAGATTTTTTTTCCCCTTGTGTATCAATTTTACAGGAAATGCTTTTGATACAGCTCTTCCAATAAATTATGCAACAGCCAACATTATCTCCTCTATTGTGTACGGAAGCAGATTTGACTACGGTGACCCTGTATTCAAGAACATGGTGAAGCGAGCCAATCAAACCATATGTGTCTCAGGTTCTGCATCAGTCCAGGTTGGCTTTTTGACAGATTCGATGAGTTGGTGAAGTTGGCCACGATCACATACATTCATATATGGAAGTAGAAAATTCTGTGAGACTAAAATCTTATAAATTAAATTTAATTAGCAACAACAAACAGACCTCATGACCTGATGTTTACTACGTGCTTCGTATCTTAGGCTCCCATTGTACTTTTGAATACTCTAGGTCCCACAAGTAAACCAGCAGTGCTATGTGGTCCTATGAGGTCTATAAGATTAGACTGGGCCTGATTGTTCAAGACTTTGTAAGTGAAAGGATTTTAAATTCAACTTTGGATTTAACAGGAAGCCAGTGAAGACAAGCGAATATGGGAGAAATATGCTTGCAGTCAATACTCTCGCTGTAGCATTTTGGATCAACTGAAGGCTTTTCGGGGAGTCAGGATGGCCTGATAACTGATCCATCTCATGTCTGTCTTATCTGACTTTGCCGATTGTTGTCCGGCCTCCACCTCGTGACCTGCCTGGCTGAACAGGGATCCCAGGGGCTAAAGTCCCCATCGATATGGCTCTCTGGAAGGCATACACAACTCCCTACAATAACAAGGCTCTAAACATTCAGTGAAGAAACACAGGCTAGAGCCAAAGCTGTAGCGTTGCCATTAGCAAATCTGGCTCTGTGGTGCATTGGAAATCTGACTATTTGCTTTTTTACAATCTTTTTTTTTATTTTTTTTATTATTGTTATTAATGCTCATTGATGCAAAGGCAGTAATTCTTAATCATGAGATACAATAAAATGTATATATGACACGATATGCACCGATAGTCATTAAGGAATTAGATGGTAAAGCTACTTGAAAATATCAGATATCTTTAGATGCACAGCAACAGTAACTTTGTTATTTTTGATTTAAATTATTTCTGTGAGGGGAATTTTAAAATAGGTCAAGTCATCGCTGCTTTCATAAAAATGAAAACCAGGATTTGGTGAAACAATGTGTAATAATAATGTGTGGACTTTAATCTTTTTTTAATATTTAAACTATAACATGTGTCATTTGACAAAGTAAAATTTATTAAATTTTATTTCTGATAATTACGTGTATTTACTTGGAATAAGCTTTGTTTAAGTTTTTTTTTTTTTTTTCTCCTGCAGCTTTTTAACATGTTTCCTCGGCTGTTCGGTTGGATAAAAAATCGCCAGGTGGTGTTAAAAAATGTTGAGATGAATGTCAGAGATATAAAGAATTTAATTAAGCATCTGAAAGAGACTCTGGAGTCTGGACTGTGCCGAGGGCTTGTGGACTGTTTTCTGATTCGGAAACAGAAAGAAGAAGTAAGACTATGTGTGTTTTTTTTTTTTTTAATTATGATAATATTATTTACACTTTAGGTTTGATAGCAATAAGCAATGTGAGTGTTACTTCTTTTAGGACTCCTGTGTTTTGGATACTCACTACAATGAGGAGAACTTGACATTCACAGTGAGCAACCTGTTTGCTGCTGGCACTGACACCACAGCAGCCACACTGAGATGGGGTTTGCTGTTAATGGCTAAATACCCACACATACAGGGTAAGGAACTGGACAATACATGCAAGTCCCACCTCAAAAGAATGTGGATGATAAGAAATACCACACTGTTAATTTGGGTTTCACCCAGGACTGTATAGGCGTTGGTTGAATAACAATGGTGTTCACCTTGGGGTGTCGGTCAAAACACACAGGACGCACAAATAAGGTTATTCCTTATTTACTGTTATTCTTTAACACAACAGCACAGTGATGCAACCACAGGCTTACAGGGGTGGTGTACAACTCCTAGGTGGGGTCTGTGTATGGGCTCAATACTAAAGTAATAATGGTATTTCTGGTATAGCACAACTTTATCCTTTCAGTAGCTGCCAAAAGTTAAGGGACCTAGCTTAGGATATTCATATAGAGATCCTCCAGCTTCAAACTGCATTACCCTTCCAGGACCTGAAGCTCAGCAAAGCACCCCAAACCCATCTATTCTCTGACTGGATTGTTAAATTTATGATTGACACGACATTGACCAATCAGGTGAAAGGCAGAAAAATTGGGACAAAATTCCTACTCATAAGAAGAAAGTCACACATAGCCAGGGAACTTAAGTGTAGAGTTTAATACGCAGTTTTTTGCTTTGTATCTGTAACCTCTACGGTGGGCCTGAGAGGCCAAACGGACTGCAACTTAAGAAAACACCAGCAACAAGAAAAACGCTGCAAAAGCACACAAAAAATAACGGAAATAGGAAAAACGACAACGGAAATGGGGGAAAAAACAGATTTCCAAAAGCACAAGGGAAGTGTTTCTGGGGAGACAATAACCCGACGGACCAGTTGCAGGAACCAAATTATGCTAAGAATTGCGCTGGGACACACTTAGAAGAAGTGAAGGATCTATCGGTTTTGTGAGGAAAGAAAAGATGAGAGGTAAGTGTGTTAGCCTAACTATTAGTCTGAAAATACGTCAGCAGTATTATATGAATCATGATAAAACACACCATTTTTTCGGTTCCTGCAACTGGTCCGTCAGGTTGTCTCCCCAGAAACACTTCCCTTGTGTGTGTGTGTGTGTGTGGTTTTTTTTTTATATTTTCCTATTTTTGTTTTCTTGTTTCCTACTTCCGTTGTGTTTTGTGTGCTTTTGCAACGTTTTTCTTATTGCTGGTGTAAGTTGCAGTCCGTTTGGCTTCTCAGGGCCACCGTTGTAACCAGACCTTAACAAACAAATTTGTAACTGTGTAAATATTTTTTTACAAACACAAATCTTTTTTACACACACACTTACAAAACTCAGTTCACAACTACACATTTGATTTAAGAGTACAAAATATTTATGCCCACAATTTGAGCCCATATGTGTGGTCTGTAAACAAAACATATACAGAATGCTGATTATAATAAGGATTCAATCAAGATGTCTACTCACAGTTCTTTAGAGACGCACACAACTCACACTATGCCTAGACGTCCACTGTTGAGTCAGTTTACAAGGTGCCTCTTGCTATGTGTTAGCTTAACCTACATGCTCTGGACCATGTTCTCAATAGTTCAACTCTCTCGCCACAAGGGGGCTCTCGAACACAGTCGACAGCCTTTCCAACACACATAGTTGATATTTATATAAGGTGATAACACATAAATACATATATAGAGTTAAGTGTCCTGTTGGGCTACAAGACCAATGACTTCAGTTATGGGTTTACTGACATGTCAGCAGGTGATATCAGAGGGAAAAGGCAAAAAAACCACCACGACTACCAGTCAGTGGTAAATAAATACACAGCATTTCATATGCAAACAATGTGCACCATAACAATATTCTGTGTATAATTTTAGATTTTTTATTTATTTTTTTATTTTTACACGTTTTAGCAGATCTGTTAAAACTAATGTGGACAAATTTGTTTCTTTATTTTGTCTCTGCAGAGCAGGTCCACGAGGAGCTGAGCCGGGTAGTAGGAAGCCGACAAGTTTGTGTAGATGACCGGAAAAACCTGCCGTACACTGATGCAGTCATTCACGAGACTCAGAGACTGGCGAATATTGTTCCCATGTCTGTTCCTCACCAAACTAGCCAAGATGTCACCTTCAAGGGATACTTTATCAAAAAGGTCAGCTGCTGTACCTAAATATATTTTAACATCTTGATT